ATGGGGGATTAATGGGTCATTTTGGTGTTGATAAAACAGGGGGAATTCTCGAGGAACAATTCTATTAGCCTAAGATACACAAAGATTTTGCTCGAATTTGTGGCCAATGTATTGAATGTCAGAGTGACAAGTCACGCCTCCTTCCCCATGGTTTATACACTCCACTCCCCACCCCTTAAAGACCTTGGCTTGATATTTCAATGGATTTTGTTTTGGGTTTGCCAAGGACAAAAAGAGGTAGAGATAGCATCTTTGTTGTTGTTGATCGATATTCAAAGATGGCTCATGTCATTCCATGTCATAAATGTGATGATGCTTCCAATGTGGCAACTCTGTTTGTGGAAAATATTGTTAAATTGCATGGAATTCCTCAAACCATCATAAGTGATAGGGACCCAAAATTCCATAGTAGCTTTTAGAAAGAATTATGGGGGAGACTTGGTACCAAGTTGTTGTTCTCAACTTCTTGTCACCCACAAATAGATGGCCAAACTGAAATTGTGAATAGGACCTTGGGTTCTATGCTTTGTGCCGTGGTGCATGGAAAGTTGGCCTCATGGGGAGGAACATTTTCCTTTAGTTGAGTTTGCTTATAATCGAGTGAATTAGAACTATTGGCATGACTCCATTTGAAGTGGTGTACGGTTTTAATCCCCTAACCCCCTTAGATCTCACTCCTCTTACTCAAGATGTTGTCTTAAGCTTAGATGGGACAAAAGAACCAAGAGGTACCCAAAAAGGCGAACAAGGGTCGCAAGAGGATTGTGCTAGAATCGGGTGAGTGGGTGTCGGTGCATTTTTGCAAGGAGCGATTTCCCACTCATCGGAAGACAAAGTTGATGCCAAGAGGTGATCAGGTCCCTTTCAAGTGCTTGAAAGACTCAATGACAATGCATACAAAATTGACCTTCCTCCAGAGTATCAAGTTCACAACAACTTCAATGTTTGCAATCTTTCTCCATTTTCAACTCTTGATGATGATGATCCGTCGAATTTGAGGACAAATCTTTTCAAGAAGGAGAGAATGATGCAATTCGGATTGCACCAAGGCCGTTCACTCGAAGCCAAGCTCGAGACCTTCAAAGGATGTCCATGAAGTTAGAGGTCCTTGAGCACGTGTTGAAGGCAAAGAAGGGGTTCCATGCCTTAAAGATCGCTTGGGGAAGAGAAGGGAAGATAGTTAATGAAACTACCACTTTAGGCGAGCAGGAGCCATTCAGCGACTCGCCCAATGGCTTGGGCGAGGAGCCCAACTCGCCAAATGTTCTAGAAGGCTTCAAGGGAGGGGTCATCTCGCCAAACCAATTGGCGACTCACCGACTCCGAGTGTCCCTTAGGCGAGCACGACCCAGCTCACCCTTTATCCCTTTTGGGCCTCTTATGTAACAAATGCCTGAAACTTTAAATAGCTAGTTTGGGTTCTCTTTTAGGTAGACTAGTTTGAATATTGATAATTTGAAATTCTTGTATGACTGTTGAGAGCTTGGTACAAGCTTGGGTTGACTATTGCTTAGAGAAATGCGGGTTGCGAGGTGAATTCAATTCCCTCGAGGTCTTCGTAAGAGTTAGGTGCTTCTTGTAGGATTTACGAATTAAGGTCTTAAGGTTTAATATACCTTTTGGTTGCTTCCTATTTACTCTTTTTGTGTCTGTCTGTCTATCTATCTATCTATCTATCTTTATTTCTTCTCTTTAATTTCCCCATTTTATCCGTAATTCGTAGCGAGAATTACATGACTGACTGTTCTCCCCTAGAGGTCAATTTCTAGTAAAGCCAAACAGTGGTTATAGAGGGAGATCATTTTATTGCGGTAATTTTGTGGCCAGAATAATAGGGGTGTCATCTAAGTCTTGGTTTTCTATTTCTACTTCTGCCTCCAACTCTTCCTCAAAATTAGCAAACCATCTATTTAAGGTCTCATAGTCTACTTAATATTCAGAATTAAATTCTAAAATAGTGGGACGTGAAATAAAAAAAAACTTTAATCAACATGGGTATAATCGTTGGTATTAGTTTTAAATCTAGGTTGCAATGAGAACTAAGTCCTCCCCCACCCCTACTAGTAGCACCTTTTTTTCCATAAATTGATTTTTTACCACTACTTTTTTTAACGGGATCCATATTTAAAGTTTATAATAATTAAAATATAAAAAACAAACAAGATAAATATAACAAAAAAATATAATAAGTAAACAAATAATAGAGATGAAAGTTGAAACGAATGTATCAAGCGTCTAAAACACCTTTGTTTCTCCTAATTGCAGGTCAAGAAAAAAAGAAAGAAGTTGGAACATAACAAAAAGCAGGAACATGCAAAAGTTTCCACTTGTAAATTAACTGGAAATGGCAAGCACATCAAACCTCGTACAAACATATTCGGGATATCATCATGTGGCATTCCTCTTCCATTATCCTATACTAGAAAAGAAGTACAATAATTAAAGTGTTTTACGGAAATCTTCCACTAACTTGCCAAATTGATTTAATTCAACAATGTACTTTTCTTGTCTTGCATACTTTGAGCAGAATCAGCATATAGAAGAACAAAGAGAAACAGATCATACCTTGCATGTCACCCTATAATATAATGCCTCCCTACCCTTGGCTGCCTTTGTAGCTGCAGGGTCTTTTACTTTCTTCCCAAGAGCAACATTCTTTGCTTGAACCCGAGCTTCCTGGGCAAGTCTTTTCTAGACACAGTAGTTAGAAAAATCACAATGCCATCTAATGAAATTTGCTAGAAAAATATTTCACTAATGAAATTTGCTAAATGTCAAACAGTGAGCACAAAATATCAATCACAATGCCATCTAAGTGAGAGTAAATCACTGCTTACACACCTCACGAGCTTTTGCTGTCTCAAAATCATCATATAGGGCTTCATCTCTACGTTCATGGTCACCCAGACCAATCATGGGATTAAATTTACTTCTGCCAATCTCTTCACTGCAGAAGCAAAACAAAAAACAACACTAAGCTAGCTATGAAGAGAGGTTCCCATCAACAGCGCATTTAGTGTATCATTGTTGATTAATGCCTTCAACATTCCCTTCAATGTGGTCGATTCTCTTTTGTTGGCTAATTGCAACAATGTGTGACCTTAAAAACATCCACCTACTCTACAAGTAACCAGTTCAAAAAAAAAACTCCACCTTCTCTACTATCATTATGACAATTTTATATCTTTTCCAACTGCATTGAGTTAGTGAGCACTGAGCAGTAAGTAACCACTATAACAAACTGTCGTCTAATAGTGGCTGAATAGAATGCAAGCAATAGATAAACTATTTTCAATGGTCAATAAGCCATACAGCCAACTAATTTTATTTTATCAAGGAATCTCACACAGATGAATGCAATCAGTTTCAAGTTCTCACCGATTAAACGTTCTGCATGAGACTTCCCAATGTTTACAAATTCATGCTGAAGGAAAACTGCAAAAGAGTCTGTTTTGATGTTTCCGTTATAAGCCATTTGATAAGAAGATGTCCACAGCAGATGGATGGTGCTTGGTCTCAAGAGGAACTGAAGGCATTATGTCTGTTCTTCTAGTGAACCTTATAAGCACATTTTTCCTACAATCAATTCAAAACTAGAGTGAAACCGAAGAATGCAGCACATATTTTACGAACTCAAAATTGTGGACGTGCTTGTAGGTTGACAAAGGGGAGAAGAGACGGGAGAGGGGTGAAGGGGAGGAGGGGAGATAGAGAAAGTACTCAGGAGAATCTGATATGAATTGGAAAAGGAATTGGGCATAGGGCATGATGACAGCCATTTGTCGCATATAATGCATTGACTTTGGACTGTAAACACAGAAAGAAAAGATCAGTTTTCAGAAATATAGAAGGTGAATAATTTGACTAAGTTTGCTTTCAACGCATGAATGAGGTGAAACTTATGAGAACTTCTGTCACAACTATTCAAGAACTACATACTCGGTACGTTGTCCAGTTCCTTTCAATGACAATCTGGATTTCAGCACCATGCCACCGGTCTTCGTTTTCCCGTTTTTCATGTATATGAATGCGAGGAACATTCCTGAAAAGAAGGCGTAATACAGTAATATACCTTGGAAAACAAAAACAATATAATCCTGTGTTACCATGCATTCTTAAATATAACTTTCTATTTCTAAGTCATCTCATATTTGTAATATCCAGCCTACAGAATGAGGTATAATTTTCACTGTTCATGGAAGATTTAATCTCAATGGGAAGTCCTGTACTCATCTTGGACCAAATCAATGCCTGTAGAAATGAGAGAAAAGGATAAATTCTTCAATTATGGTACATGCTGACATCCATTGAGGTCTGGATGAGAACAAGTAAAATGGAAAGAAGAACTACAGGACAAAAATCACTGGAAGAAGCATTCTAACAGTACAAAAATATTCTCTTATTCCAAAGACATAATCCACCACCCTGGCAACCACCTCCCTATAATAGAGAACAACAACAAGACAGGGAATCTAACACAAATAACTAAGACTCAAAAAAGTAGAATCAGAAGAACGTCAAATGATCAGGTCAAGACCAATTGCTCAACGTACCATCTTTGCACAAAGATCAAATTTCCCACGTGTCTGTTTCATACTTTGTTCAAGACAAAACTGCAGAAGAACACTTTCTTAGAAAAAGGATCATGTGTAGTAATACAGAGTTGCAATAATCAAAACTTTCCACTTGGATCTACGACAATCTTAGGAAAATATACCCTAGTAACTAAACAAGAGGAGCCAGTCTAAAATACCTTTGTTCCTCCTAATTGAAGGTGAAGAAAAAATGAAAGAAGTTGGAACTTATAAAAAAGCGGGAACATGCAAAAGTTCGAACTAAACATTAAATGTAAAGGAAAAAAACAGTATTATGTGACGTGCACACCAAAACACGCAATAACAGATGAAAGAAGCTCAATAGTAGAAAGACTAGAAAGAGATTAGATAGATGAACTTCTTTATTAGGGAACTGATGAAAGAAAAGTTGGGTAAATATACTACCTTTTCTTTGACAACTCATGAAAGAAAGTTTGGCAAGATTTGAAATTCTTTCATCTTCATCTTCCAAACAGTTGGCCATTTCATTTATATAAACTTCCACCTAATAATGATACACGCAAAACAAGATGATAAAAATTCTGACACATGAAACCTAATTATAAATGTTTGATAGTCCACCCAAACCTTCATGTCATTCAGTATTAGATGAGAATGAACGATCTCTTAATCATGCATACATATGCTCTGTCCATGGCTCTAACAGATTAGGAAAACGAACTGCCAGATCTCCAAGACCAACAGTGCAATTTGATCAAACTGTTTCAGATGGTGCATTCTCCACAACAGTGAAAAGAAGCTGGAGATTTGCATCACTAGGAAGTAATATATACACACATGTTTAGAACTTTTTACAAAAATCTTAAATAATTGATGACGCTCAAATCACCCTCAAAACAAGTTAACAGAGTAAGCAGTTGTCGCTAATAAAAATACCCAACTCTTAGTAGCGTTCGAACACAAGAGACTCGTATTTCAAGACACACCACAAATCAACTTCCCTTTCTCAATTAAGCACAAAGGTAATGGCTCCGGTTGGTACTAACAAATAGTCCACATGCAAACTTTTTTCACATGAGAAATCCTCTCATTCTCATTACATTATTCTTTTCTTATTTCCACGCTAGTTGCCCCACATACAACCATTTTCAACTTTTGGAGGATTCAAGTCTCATTTATTCATTTTTTTTTCTTTTTCAAAGCTTTTTCTATCTTTGAGACTTCCCATTCAACCCTCACTTTTCAAACCCATGCACATTCCACACTATTTTTCATTATTCTTTTCTTATTTCCACTATAGATGCCCCCCATACAACCATTTTCAACTTTTGGAGGATTCAAGTCTCATTCATTCGTTTTCTTTCTTTTTTTTTCAAAGCTTTTTCTTTCTTTAAGACTTCCCATCCAACCCTCAATTTCTCTCTTCATTTTTTTTTTCTATCAAGCCCTCATGTTGTAAGCATCCATCCCTTCAATGAATTTCCCATAACACCACCAACTTAGGCTTTTAGCCTCGACTTTCACAACCTCAAGTTCAAGGAGGGAAGGGTTCAAAAGAGGGTTACTTTTTTCAAAAAGGATAAGGCTTGTAATGTGGTTGCCAATAAAAAGGATTAGGCTCAAAGGGGACAACTAAGGATATATTTAGTGCAAAGGTGGGATTTTTAGACAAAGTGGACTTCAAGAACATCAAAGAAAGCCTAAGATCATTTCTCCAACCAAACTCAATCAAGACCAACATTTCAAGACCAACCGGGCAAGTTCTAGGTGACAATAGCGAACACAAGGCATTATTCAATAACTCACCACACATGGCCTGCAAATCAATCAAGATGGTTCAAAATCAATCTTCCTTTTCAAAATACAAGTAGCACTGAACATTTTAACCGCTAACGAATCAAAAGTCACAAAAAGAGTTGTAAGAGTTGTCACAAATCATTCATAACATGCTCAACCTTATAAAAACGGAGAGGTATGCTCATGATTCACATGCATGACTATGCTCTTAGTACCAACCAAGTCAAAACCTTCCCAAAATGACGATGATTTTACCCTTAAAGTCATCAACCAATCCATCAACAAGCAACCTCATGCATCTATTCGGGAACGGCTACTCAAACTTCGCCACAATCAACGCCAATCAAACATTCACAAGCAATCGATGATTTAACCTTAAGAAGGACGTCACTCTCTATCCATCATCAGGGATCGTTAATCCAAATCTTATTATAAAAAAAAAACAAAGAAGCTACAAACTACAAATCAAAAACTAAAATAGACCAATCCAACACAATATCAACAGAAACATCCACAATATCAAAACCCGAAAAGGGCACACTAATGAAAGAAAAGTATGCCCGACAAGGGCACAATCACAGTATGCAGAAACAATCAACAAAATGAGTACAAGGGAGGCACCCCAACTGAAAATGAGATTGTGTCCTCACAGACCAATTATCAAAGTGAATACCAAGGCGAAAGAATGGTAATAGTTTGATATTACTATTATCAATAGGAAAAGATTGAGAAGGCAAATGTCATTAGGAAGTAGTTTGATAGGAAAAAACAATCTTAGAAAATAGTAATTGAGCAAAAGATGAAACTAACCAAAACTAACTATAATGCTAAAGTACTTCGTAGCCTCAGCAACATGCTTAAAGAGTGCCAAAGAACCTGATAGAAACCTCAGCACTAATCCTGCATCCATAACCTGCAAATTGATCAACATTTATACAGTAAGTTTCAAGGGAGAGCTTCATGGTGGCAGGATACCGACAACTATAGAGCCTTAGTTCAAATCCCCCCCCCCACCCCAAAAAAAAGAAGAAGCTTGTTTTGAATACCAGAGAGAAGTGCAAAGACCTTCCTGGAGGAAGACCTGCATAATTGCAATTCTTCACCCGTCGAATTGGAAAAAGATAAATATTAAGCAATTTTTTTGTGCATTCTCCTGCAAGATATTGAAATTATTTCGTTAGAGCACTGTGATGTGCCAGAATTTTACGAACCACCCTAACTTCTCTGCACAATATAGAGATGAAGATGCAGCAGTATGCATGCCATAATTATGAAAATCTATAGGGTCAAGAATTATAGATTAACAAAGGCACATGAAGGCATATATATTTCTAGAACGAGTGGTGGGACAACAAATTTTACCACTGGAAAAAGGCAAATAAAATTAAACTTGTTGTTTTTCTATGCGAAGAGCCATTTTTTTATTCCCTCTCAAACAAAGCCAACAATTGAATGGCGCTAACCCTGCACCTTCAGCATTTTGTACTTGTCAATGAACTGATTTCTTAGACTTTACTCAACTTTATCAAGTATCAACAACAACAAAAAGAATTCTTAAACTTCATGGTCAATTATATAGGGCAGCCAGTGCATTCAGGAAAAGAAATTACAGTGTCACGAAGTATTGCACAAATTTGTGCATTGCAGGGTTTATAGGGTGCTGCAGAGAGAGGACTTATTGTATACACCTTAAGCCAAATGGAAGGGGTCCATTTTTGACTTGCATACAACCCCCTAACAAAGTTGATGTATTCATTATTCTTCCAAAGCTTACTTCAATTATCATTTAAGCCTAAACTTTCATGAAACCAAACCAAATAGCAACATCGATAATTTAAAGACCTCACATATTTTGAACCAAAAGAAAGGGAACTCGGGATGGGAAAAAACTATGATTACAACAACGAGAATTCAAACCAAACAAGTATGAATGATTCAAAATAGACAAGCAATGAATACAACTAAACATTATAAGATAAGAGAATCAGGAGAAATTGAACCATCAAAATGGGTTATCAATATTTGGAACTGAAATACTAAGCAAACACCCAATCCTTACGTTTAAACAACAAGCAATAAGCTGGAAACCTTAAGAAAATAAGAATCTGATCCACTTGTGGTGTTAACTTTGAGTTAAAATAAGCCCTTTATGTTAAACCACAAAACAGCGAACAAGCTAAGACGAGGAAACACAACCCATAACAGCATTTGACCACAAAATATTTTGGAAATCCAACACGAAATAGAATGTAAGATGACCCCAAGTGGTAAATTTAAAGCCTCAGATCTTATTAATTTATAAACATGTATTTTACTAAGATACGAGTAAATCAATCAAAGAGACATGCTTCAAACATACCTGAAATTAGAACAAGAGATATTCAACCAGCAGGCACAATGTAAAAGAGTAGTAAGGCAGTAAGTTATCCGATTCATCCTGTTTACACTAGTCAAGATACAAATGAAGTAATCAGCCCACGACATGTTAGGAAAACAAACCCACCTATAGAAACTAAATTTAGAATTTCAAACTAAATCACAAATCATAGAAAACATGATGAGATTAAACAGTGGTAGCAACCGCATCAGTGAAATCAAAGATATAAACCTTCAATATTTCAAGCAAAAATCTACATAAGAAGACATTTTTCAAGCTTACAAGCATAACAACTAGCAACATAAGCAATACATAGGTATATATCTCATATCAATAACCCTTAGAGGAAGAACAGTAAATCGAATGAGAAATTAGCCATTCAAGTAGACATAAACTCAAGCATAAGATGTCAACCAACGGAAAGAGGAACATAAAGTTTATGCAGCAAAACAAAACTACCAGTTAAGCCCCAAATTTGCAGAAGAACACTTTCTTAGAAAGAGGATCATGTGTAGTAATACAGAGTTGCAATAATCAAAACTTTCCACTTGGATCTACGACAATCTTAGGAAAATATACCCTAAGAACTAACCAAAAAAGAAGAGCCAGTCTAAAATACCTTTGTTCCTCCTAATTGAAGGTCAAGAACAAATGAAAGAAGTTGGAACTTAACAAAAAGCGGGAACATGCAAAAGTTCCCACTAAACATTAAGTGTAAAGGAAAAAACAGTATTATGTGACGTGCACACCAAAACACGCAATAACAGATGAAAGAAGCTCAATAGTAGAAAGACTAGAAAGAGATTAGATAGATGAACTTCTTTATTAGGGAACTGATGAAAGAAAAGTTAGGGTAAATATACTACCTTTTCTTTGACAACTCATGAAAGAAAGTTTGGCAAGATTTGAAATTCTTTCATCTTCATCTTCCAAACAGTTGGCCATTTCATTTATATAAACTTCCACCTAATAATGATACACGCAAATCAAGATGATAAAAATTCTGACACATGAAAGCTAAGTATAAATGTTTGATAGTCCAGCCAAACCTTCATGTCATTCAGTAAGTATTAGATGAGAATGAACGATCTCTTAATCATGCATACATATGCTCTGTCCATGGCTCTAACAGATTAGAAAAACGAACTGCCAGATCTCCAATACCAACAGTGCAATTTGATCAAACTGTTTCAGATGGTGTATTCTCCACAACAGTGAAAAGAAGCTGGATATTTGCATCACTAGGAAGTAATATACAACACACATGTTTAAAACTTTTTACAAAAAGCTTAAACAATTGATGACGCTCAAATCACCCTCAAAACAAGTTAACAGAGTAAGCGGTCAAAGGAATTCAAGATGTTTTGAGAGCATAGAGAACAATGTGCAGAAAGTTAAACTAAACTGCATTTTACTTTTAGTCATTTGGTGTAATCAGTTATACTCTAATGACACTGTCTCTATTATTGATGTGTTAGACTCAATTTAGACGTAGAGAAGTGAAATCAGGAGTACTCTTGTATATAAGGTTACAGTACGACCCATGTACTGTTTTGTGATATAATACAAAGTTACCAAGTTCAAAAAAAAAAAAAAAAATACCAAACTCTTAGTAACGTTCGAACACAAGAGGCTCATATTTCAAGACACACCACAAATCAATTTCCATTTCTCAATTAAGCACAAAGGTAATGGCTCCGGTTGGTACTAACAAATAGTCCACATGCAAACTTTTTTCACATAAGAAATCCTCTCATTCTCATTACATTTTTAAAAACCAAGAATCATTTAAGTGACAACAACTCAAACTCAAGAGATGACTCAACTCATTAACACTTTCACATGCTCACTTGACTCAATTAGGAATTTTCAAAATCACCACTTTTTCAGCTTACATGCCCTCACATGAAAGAAGCGTCCCAAAACCGCACACACATATAAACAAGACATGGGACAACAAAGATGCAACACTCACACTCACAAAGAATCATCTCATGTACACAAATGTCACACAATAGGCTTGCCCATATTTTCAATCATTTTTGACTCAACTCCATTTGGTTAGAAATCTCAAAGGACTTTGTTAAGCTTGTAATATAGGCTTAGGAAAGGTTAGGATATCATTTAGGTATAGGTGACTACACCCTCCTTGAACACTACACAACAACTCATATTTTCCAACTTTCTCCACTTTTCAAACCCATGCACATTCCACACTATTTTTCATTATTCTTTTTCTTATTTCCACTCTAGTTGCCCCACATACAACCATTTTCAACTTTTGGAGGATTCAAGTCTCATTTCTTCATTTTCTTTCTTTCTTTTTCAAAGCATTTTCTTTCTTTAAGACTTCTCATCCAACCCTCAATTTCTCTCTACTTTTTTTTTCTATCAAGCGGATATGGTAAGCATTGATCACTTCAATGAATTTCCCATAACACCACCAACTTAGGTTTTTAGCCTCGATTTTTTTCACAACCTCAAGTTCAAGGAGGGAAGGGTTCAAAAGAGGGTTACTTTTTCAAAAAGGATA